ACGTTCTGGAAAGCGTCGCCTTCCTCCAGTCGGTCGAACACAGCGCTGATCTGGTTGGTGTTGTTCAGTTACTCCGAGCTCAGTGTGAGTTGAGCTACTTGGGTAGGGTCAGCAGTGCCAGTGATGCAAGCTAAAGCACACCATGGACACAGATTCAGAAGTTTATTTAAAACAAAGAATAATAATAAAATAAACATTTTTTAAATAAATGACACGTCACACGAGCTACTGGAGCAAGCCAGAAAAAGTTACTCACACTGGAGAAATTTCCATTCAGGGACTTCAAATCCTCCAGGTCAGCGTAGCTGGAGAAATTGCCAATGTTCTTCTCAAGCCAGTCAGCACTGCTCGTAGTTTTGGAAAGACAGGCAGGATCTGGATTGAACACAGAGCATTGGGGGAATGGGTTAGGGTTAGGGTTAGGGTTAGCACCACTGAATTGTAAGCAAGCTGAAATAACTGTGACAAGCTGAGACGTTGACGGACGCTTAGGGAACTACAGCGCGAGAGATGACAACTCAAGGCAGTGATGGCACTAAAAAGTACCTTTTAGGTCGTCTCTCGACAAGAAGCGCTGGATGAATTGAGTGAAGACGGCCCGTTTCTGCTCCTCCGCCATGAGTGATGCCTGACGACCGAGAGCCTGCACCCTGAATCAGGAAAGATCAGCGAACGTCACGGATTGCCAGACCTAACTCCGCTAAACACCGCTTGAGGATTTCCACAGCACTGAGCATACTTACACAACTTGGTAGGTGTCGCAACTGAAGTTCTTGGAGCTAAGGCAGGACAGAAAGTCCCTAGAGACTGCTGACAAAAATGGCCTCAGCCTGTCCTGGAACCAGGCGGCAACGAAGCCGGCATCCGTCAGCTGTGCAGCGCTGAAGTTGTTGACTTTCACCTCTCCTATGGCATCGAGAACATGGGACTGAGGCTGACCGTTGGGTAGGGTCTGTAAAAATAATGGGGCATGTCAATTCAGAGCTCTGAGGCAGCACTCCATTTTCTCTTCCATAAAAAGCAGGGGCGTCGCCTACCATGTTGGAGAACTTTGACAGAGCATCCTCCAGAACTCCTGCCACTTTCAGGAAGAAAAGCTTCCACGTCTCTGTGCTCGTGCCACTTGGCACCTTGCAAGTCAGCAGCGTGAAGATGTCATCAGAGGACAGAGATGATGCAACCTTGAAAGAGGTGGACAGATTTAAGCAGTCAGATACACAGGACACTTTTCAAAGACAAGCACTCGGGTGCAGAGCTCATGGAGGACTTACCGAAGAGCAGGCATAATCAGAGATGTTGAAGTCGCACAGCCCAGCCGAGGAATTTTCAGACAGACGCTGAGCCTCAAGTTGACCACTGCCAGGCACAAAAGCATGATTCCCATTTACAACACTTTCTGAAGCCTACCTCTGCTTTCAGTAGATACCAAACCAATACTCACCGGTTAACATCTTGACACAGCCTGTTTTCTGTAAAGGAAGAAAAAAAAACAAGATCAGATGGAGAACTTTCACATACTATCTTATGAGTTTATTGCAAAATGACTCGATTCCATCAATCGCAAACTGCCGTTGTGTGTTCTGACTTACCATCTACTAATGTTTCATTGCACTATTGCGAGAGAAGATGAAGCAGAAAGAAAAGAGAAAACAATTATGAACAGCTTCTCTTGGGCTTTAACTCAACTCATTAGCCATCTTAAACAATGAAGTACTTACGAAACCGACGGGGCGAGGAGGCGTACAGTCTGAAGAGAAGCCAAGAAAAAAAAGAGATTTCGGGTCAATAGGAGGCCACTGGCATATGGCTTACACACACATGCATTTTGTCAGAATTTCTTTGTCATGCCATACCTTCTCCTTGTGACTGTACAAGTTGGTCTACACTGGACTTGAGCTCCGCTTTAAGTCCAGATGGGAGAACTGCCAAAGCCGTCTCCAGGCCTTTCAATCTAAAGAAACATACAAAATGCAGATCTTTCAGTGCTTGTTTCTCCAGACTGCATACAAACTTAAAACCAAAGGTGCCAGGTTTCTCACATTGCACTGTAAGAGTCACAGGTGAGGTTGGTGGGGATCACCACCAGAACTGAAGGACGGAAGCTGGCCAGCAGGACCACGAGATTGATTTGAAACCACAGCTCGTAGTCACTCGTTTGGAAGAGGGGGAATTTGGGAGCCAGAGCAGTCAAAGTCAGGTTCAGCATTGTGTCTCGGACTTCCACGTTTGTGATGTAGGTGACGTTTTCCTGGAGGAGGGAGGGAAACAGAGCCTTCTTGTTCAAGAGCATCACAATCATGGTCTAGGCCAATTAGGATAATCAGGTTCATCAGATGAAAAAAAAAAAACTCACCTCCTTGCTGACTTCCACAAATTTTTCAAAGAATTTCTCAAGCTGATTCTCATCTGGGGATTTTAGGATGCTGCTCAACACCTCCTTCACCACGGTCACATTTTCAAGAGCACCGGTGGACGGATCCAACAGCAGCTCGGCTTTCTGATCAGGTGACAGGGTTTCCAGAGCTGCCACCTGAGGTGAGCATAACACCAAGGAAATAGCAGGAAGGACTGTCAGCGCTCTGCTTTCTGCCCAACACTTAAGCACTAGTACAAGTGCCAATCAAATTCTCTATTAAAGCTGTATGACAACAGAAACATAAGAGAAGGTTGGTATTTTACCCCGCTGACGTTCAACTCCTTAAGGTCCGAGTAATTGGCCAGTGTGGTGAATGGGCCCAAGTTGGCCTTAAGCCAATCAGCATCGCTGGCAATGTTCTGTCTGCAACCTGTTTTTAAAGATAGGGGTGGAGGAAGATCAGTCTGCATTCCTGCACTGTTATGAAGTTGACACACACAACTACGGTGAGCTGTCAGCTGGGGGAAAAAAAATCCCACTGCAACGCACTCTATTCTGGCAATAGAGGGATGCCGCAGAAGCGTGCTTTGGAAAGGCCTACCTGGAAGGCTAAATTGGGTGGCAAATTTCTTCAGGTGCTCCACCAGAACTTTGGTTATCTCCTGCGTCCTGATGAGTGTCATTTCGTGGAACACAGATCCTAGTCCTTTAACTCTGCAACAGAGAGCCACAGAGGGTCATTATGTGGATGCATTGGTGCAGATCTACAAACTTCCTTTCTCCAAATTCATGCACTCACATCACATGGTAGTTGGTGCAGCTGATGTTAGCTGTGACCGTAACCAGCATTTCCGGGGTGAAACTGGGGAGGATGGGGATGAGCTTCACAGTGAACCACGTAACCCAGACAGAGGCCTCAAATTCCTGGATCTTCGATCTGATGATTATGAAGGTTCGGTTCATCATCACGTCTCTCGCGGCAGGGGTGATATCGGGAGTCTGCAAAAACAGAAAACCAGGACTGTGAACGGCACTGTAAGAGAGTACCGTACTTTGGGCTATTCTCCACGGCATCAATGCGATCTCTGTCAGACACTTTGACTTATTGACTTGCCTCGGGAGCTGCGCTCAGTGCCGTCAGAAACTCCTCCACGTTCTGGAAAGCGTCGCCTTCCTCCAGTCGGTCGAACACAGCGCTGATCTGGTTGGTGTTGTTCAGTACTCCAGAGCTCAGTGTGAGTTGAGCTACTTGGGTAGGGGTCAGCAGTGCCAGTGATGCAAGCTAAAGCACACCATGGACACAGATTCAGAAGTTTATGTTTAAAAAAAAGAATAATAATAAAATAAACATTTTTTAAATAAATGACACGTCACACGAGCTACTGGAGCAAGCCAGAAAAAGTTACTCACACTGGAGAAATTTCCATTCAGGGACTTCAAATCCTCCAGGTCAGCGTAGCTGGAGAAATTGCCAATGTTCTTCTCAAGCCAGTCAGCACTGCTCGTAGTTTTGGAAAGACAGGCAGGATCTGGATTGAACACAGAGCATTGGGGGAATGGGTTAGGGTTAGGGTTAGGGTTAGCACCACTGAATTGTAAGCAAGCTGAAATAACTGTGACAAGCTGAGACGTTGACGGACGCTTAGGGAACCACAGCGCGAGAGATGACAACTCAAGGCAGTGATGGCACTAAAAAGTACCTTTTAGGTCGTCTCTCGACAAGAAGCGCTGGATGAATTGAGTGAAGACGGCCCGTTTCTGCTCCTCCGCCATGAGTGATGCCTGACGACCGAGAGCCTGCACCCTGAATCAGGAAAGATCAGCGAACGTCACGGATTGCCAGACCTAACTCCGCTAAACACCGCTTGAGGATTTCCACAGCACTGAGCATACTTACACAACTTGGTAGGTGTCGCAACTGAAGTTCTTGGAGCTAAGGCAGGACAGAAAGTCCCTAGAGACTGCTGACAAAAATGGCCTCAGCCTGTCCTGGAACCAGGCGGCAACGAAGCCGGCATCCGTCAGCTGTGCAGCGCTGAAGTTGTTGACTTTCACCTCTCCTATGGCATCGAGAACATGGGACTGAGGCTGACCGTTGGGTAGGGTCTGTAAAAATAATGGGGCATGTCAATTCAGAGCTCTGAGGCAGCACTCCATTTTCTCTTCCATAAAAAGCAGGGGCGTCGCCTACCATGTTGGAGAACTTTGACAGAGCATCCTCCAGAACTCCTGCCACTTTCAGGAAGAAAAGCTTCCACGTCTCTGTGCTCGTGCCACTTGGCACCTTGCAAGTCAGCAGCGTGAAGATGTCATCAGAGGACAGAGATGATGCAACCTTGAAAGAGGTGGACAGATTTAAGCAGTCAGATACACAGGACACTTTTCAAAGACAAGCACTCGGGTGCAGAGCTCATGGAGGACTTACCGAAGAGCAGGCATAATCAGAGATGTTGAAGTCGCACAGCCCAGCCGAGGAATTTTCAGACAGACGCTGAGCCTCAAGTTGACCACTGCCAGGCACAAAAGCATGATTCCCATTTACAACACTTTCTGAAGCCTACCTCTGCTTTCAGTAGATACCAAACCAATACTCACCGGTTAACATCTTGACACAGCCTGTTTTCTGTAAAGGAAGAAAAAAAAACAAGATCAGATGGAGAACTTTCACATACTATCTTATGAGTTTATTGCAAAATGACTCGATTCCATCAATCGCAAACTGCCGTTGTGTGTTCTGACTTACCATCTACTAATGTTTCATTGCACTATTGCGAGAGAAGATGAAGCAGAAAGAAAAGAGAAAACAATTATGAACAGCTTCTCTTGGGCTTTAACTCAACTCATTAGCCATCTTAAACAATGAAGTACTTACGAAACCGACGGGGCGAGGAGGCGTACAGTCTGAAGAGAAGCCAAGAAAAAAAGAGATTTCGGGTCAATAGGAGGCCACTGGCATATGGCTTACACACACATGCATTTTGTCAGAATTTCTTTGTCATGCCATACCTTCTCCTTGTGACTGTACAAGTTGGTCTACACTGGACTTGAGCTCCGCTTTAAGTCCAGATGGGAGAACTGCCAAAGCCGTCTCCAGGCCTTTCAATCTAAAGAAACATACAAAATGCAGATCTTTCAGTGCTTGTTTCTCCAGACTGCATACAAACTTAAAACCAAAGGTGCCAGGTTTCTCACATTGCACTGTAAGAGTCACAGGTGAGGTTGGTGGGGATCACCACCAGAACTGAAGGACGGAAGCTGGCCAGCAGGACCACGAGATTGATTTGAAACCACAGCTCGTAGTCACTCGTTTGGAAGAGGGGGAATTTGGGAGCCAGAGCAGTCAAAGTCAGGTTCAGCATTGTGTCTCGGACTTCCACGTTTGTGATGTAGGTGACGTTTTCCTGGAGGAGGGAGGGAAACAGAGCCTTCTTGTTCAAGAGCATCACAATCATGGTCTAGGCCAATTAGGATAATCAGGTTCATCAGATGAAAAAAAAAAACTCACCTCCTTGCTGACTTCCACAAATTTTTCAAAGAATTTCTCAAGCTGATTCTCATCTGGGGATTTTAGGATGCTGCTCAACACCTCCTTCACCACGGTCACATTTTCAAGAGCACCGGTGGACGGATCCAACAGCAGCTCGGCTTTCTGATCAGGTGACAGGGTTTCCAGAGCTGCCACCTGAGGTGAGCATAACACCAAGGAAATAGCAGGAAGGACTGTCAGCGCTCTGCTTTCTGCCCAACACTTAAGCACTAGTACAAGTGCCAATCAAATTCTCTATTAAAGCTGTATGACAACAGAAACATAAGAGAAGGTTGGTATTTTACCCCGCTGACGTTCAACTCCTTAAGGTCCGAGTAATTGGCCAGTGTGGTGAATGGGCCCAAGTTGGCCTTAAGCCAATCAGCATCGCTGGCAATGTTCTGTCTGCAACCTGTTTTTAAAGATAGGGGTGGAGGAAGATCAGTCTGCATTCCTGCACTGTTATGAAGTTGACACACACAACTACGGTGAGCTGTCAGCTGGGGGAAAAAAAATCCCACTGCAACGCACTCTATTCTGGCAATAGAGGGATGCCGCAGAAGCGTGCTTTGGAAAGGCCTACCTGGAAGGCTAAATTGGGTGGCAAATTTCTTCAGGTGCTCCACCAGAACTTTGGTTATCTCCTGCGTCCTGATGAGTGTCATTTCGTGGAACACAGATCCTAGTCCTTTAACTCTGCAACAGAGAGCCACAGAGGGTCATTATGTGGATGCATTGGTGCAGATCTACAAACTTCCTTTCTCCAAATTCATGCACTCACATCACATGGTAGTTGGTGCAGCTGATGTTAGCTGTGACCGTAACCAGCATTTCCGGGGTGAAACTGGGGAGGATGGGGATGAGCTTCACAGTGAACCACGTAACCCAGACAGAGGCCTCAAATTCCTGGATCTTCGATCTGATGATTATGAAGGTTCGGTTCATCATCACGTCTCTCGCGGCAGGGGTGATATCGGGAGTCTGCAAAAACAGAAAACCAGGACTGTGAACGGCACTGTAAGAGAGTACCGTACTTTGGGCTATTCTCCACGGCATCAATGCGATCTCTGTCAGACACTTTGACTTATTGACTTGCCTCGGGAGCTGCGCTCAGTGCCGTCAGAAACTCCTCCACGTTCTGGAAAGCGTCGCCTTCCTCCAGTCGGTCGAACACAGCGCTGATCTGGTTGGTGTTGTTCAGTACTCCAGAGCTCAGTGTGAGTTGAGCTACTTGGGTAGGGGTCAGCAGTGCCAGTGATGCAAGCTAAAGCACACCATGGACACAGATTCAGAAGTTTATGTTTAAAACAAAGAATAATAATAAAATAAACATTTTTTAAATAAATGACACGTCACACGAGCTACTGGAGCAAGCCAGAAAAAGTTACTCACACTGGAGAAATTTCCATTCAGGGACTTCAAATCCTCCAGGTCAGCGTAGCTGGAGAAATTGCCAATGTTCTTCTCAAGCCAGTCAGCACTGCTCGTAGTTTTGGAAAGACAGGCAGGATCTGGATTGAACACAGAGCATTGGGGGAATGGGTTAGGGTTAGGGTTAGGGTTAGCACCACTGAATTGTAAGCAAGCTGAAATAACTGTGACAAGCTGAGACGTTGACGGACGCTTAGGGAACCACAGCGCGAGAGATGACAACTCAAGGCAGTGATGGCACTAAAAAGTACCTTTTAGGTCGTCTCTCGACAAGAAGCGCTGGATGAATTGAGTGAAGACGGCCCGTTTCTGCTCCTCCGCCATGAGGGATGCCTGACGACCGAGAGCCTGCACCCTGAATCAGGAAAGATCAGCGAACGTCACGGATTGCCAGACCTAACTCCGCTAAACACCGCTTGAGGATTTCCACAGCACTGAGCATACTTACACAACTTGGTAGGTGTCGCAACTGAAGTTCTTGGAGCTAAGGCAGGACAGAAAGTCCCTAGAGACTGCTGACAAAAATGGCCTCAGCCTGTCCTGGAACCAGGCGGCAACGAAGCCGGCATCCGTCAGCTGTGCAGCGCTGAAGTTGTTGACTTTCACCTCTCCTATGGCATCGAGAACATGGGACTGAGGCTGACCGTTGGGTAGGGTCTGTAAAAATAATGGGGCATGTCAATTCAGAGCTCTGAGGCAGCACTCCATTTTCTCTTCCATAAAAAGCAGGGGCGTCGCCTACCATGTTGGAGAACTTTGACAGAGCATCCTCCAGAACTCCTGCCACTTTCAGGAAGAAAAGCTTCCACGTCTCTGTGCTCGTGCCACTTGGCACCTTGCAAGTCAGCAGCGTGAAGATGTCATCAGAGGACAGAGATGATGCAACCTTGAAAGAGGTGGACAGATTTAAGCAGTCAGATACACAGGACACTTTTCAAAGACAAGCACTCGGGTGCAGAGCTCATGGAGGACTTACCGAAGAGCAGGCATAATCAGAGATGTTGAAGTCGCACAGCCCAGCCGAGGAATTTTCAGACAGACGCTGAGCCTCAAGTTGACCACTGCCAGGCACAAAAGCACGATTCCCATTTACAACACTTTCTGAAGCCTACCTCTGCTTTCAGTAGATACCAAACCAATACTCACCGGTTAACATCTTGACACAGCCTGTTTTCTGTAAAGGAAGAAAAAAAAAACAAGATCAGATGGAGAACTTTCACATACTATCTTATGAGTTTATTGCAAAATGACTCGATTCCATCAATCGCAAACTGCCGTTGTGTGTTCTGACTTACCATCTACTAATGTTTCATTGCACTATTGCGAGAGAAGATGAAGCAGAAAGAAAAGAGAAAACAATTATGAACAGCTTCTCTTGGGCTTTAACTCAACTCATTAGCCATCTTAAACAATGAAGTACTTACGAAACCGACGGGGCGAGGAGGCGTACAGTCTGAAGAGAAGCCAAGAAAAAAAGAGATTTCGGGTCAATAGGAGGCCACTGGCATATGGCTTACACACACATGCATTTTGTCAGAATTTCTTTGTCATGCCATACCTTCTCCTTGTGACTGTACAAGTTGGTCTACACTGGACTTGAGCTCCGCTTTAAGTCCAGATGGGAGAACTGCCAAAGCCGTCTCCAGGCCTTTCAATCTAAAGAAACATACAAAATGCAGATCTTTCAGTGCTTGTTTCTCCAGACTGCATACAAACTTAAAACCAAAGGTGCCAGGTTTCTCACATTGCACTGTAAGAGTCACAGGTGAGGTTGGTGGGGATCACCACCAGAACTGAAGGACGGAAGCTGGCCAGCAGGACCACGAGATTGATTTGAAACCACAGCTCGTAGTCACTCGTTTGGAAGAGGGGGAATTTGGGAGCCAGAGCAGTCAAAGTCAGGTTCAGCATTGTGTCTCGGACTTCCACGTTTGTGATGTAGGTGACGTTTTCCTGGAGGAGGGAGGGAAACAGAGCCTTCTTTTTCAAGAGCATCACAATCATGGTCTAGGCCAATTAGGATAATCAGGTTCATCGAATGAAAAAAAAAAACTCACCTCCTTGCTGACTTCCACAAATTTTTCAAAGAATTTCTCAAGCTGATTCTCATCTGGGGATTTTAGGATGCTGCTCAACACCTCCTTCACCACGGTCACATTTTCAAGAGCACCGGTGGACGGATCCAACAGCAGCTCGGCTTTCTGATCAGGTGACAGGGTTTCCAGAGCTGCCACCTGAGGTGAGCATAACACCAAGGAAATAGCAGGAAGGACTGTCAGCGCTCTGCTTTCTGCCCAACACTTAAGCACTAGTACAAGTGCCAATCAAATTCTCTATTAAAGCTGTATGACAACAGAAACATAAGAGAAGGTTGGTATTTTACCCCGCTGACGTTCAACTCCTTAAGGTCCGAGTAATTGGCCAGTGTGGTGAATGGGCCCAAGTTGGCCTTAAGCCAATCAGCATCGCTGGCAATGTTCTGTCTGCAACCTGTTTTTAAAGATAGGGGTGGAGGAAGATCAGTCTGCATTCCTGCACTGTTATGAAGTTGACACACACAACTACGGTGAGCTGTCAGCTGGGGGGAAAAAAATCCCACTGCAACGCACTCTATTCTGGCAATAGAGGGATGCCGCAGAAGCGTGCTTTGGAAAGGCCTACCTGGAAGGCTAAATTGGGTGGCAAATTTCTTCAGGTGCTCCACCAGAACTTTGGTTATCTCCTGCGTCCTGATGAGTGTCATTCCGTGGAACACAGATCCTAGTCCTTTAACTCTGCAACAGAGAGCCACAGAGGGTCATTATGTGGATGCATTGGTGCAGATCTACAAACTTCCTTTCTCCAAATTCATGCACTCACATCACATGGTAGTTGGTGCAGCTGATGTTAGCTGTGACCGTAACCAGCATTTCCGGGGTGAAACTGGGGAGGATGGGGATGAGCTTCACAGTGAACCACGTAACCCAGACAGAGGCCTCAAATTCCTGGATCTTCGATCTGATGATTATGAAGGTTCGGTTCATCATCACGTCTCTCGCGGCAGGGGTGATATCGGGAGTCTGCAAAAACAGAAAACCAGGACTGTGAACGGCACTGTAAGAGAGTACCGTACTTTGGGCTATTCTCCACGGCATCAATGCGATCTCTGTCAGACACTTTGACTTATTGACTTGCCTCGGGAGCTGCGCTCAGTGCCGTCAGAAACTCCTCCACGTTCTGGAAAGCGTCGCCTTCCTCCAGTCGGTCGAACACAGCGCTGATCTGGTTGGTGTTGTTCAGTACTCCAGAGCTCAGTGTGAGTTGAGCTACTTGGGTAGGGGTCAGCAGTGCCAGTGATGCAAGCTAAAGCACACCATGGACACAGATTCAGAAGTTTATGTTTAAAAAAAGAATAATAATAAAATAAACATTTTTTAAATAAATGACACGTCACACGAGCTACTGGAGCAAGCCAGAAAAAGTTACTCACACTGGAGAAATTTCCATTCAGGGACTTCAAATCCTCCAGGTCAGCGTAGCTGGAGAAATTGCCAATGTTCTTCTCAAGCCAGTCAGCACTGCTCGTAGTTTTGGAAAGACAGGCAGGATCTGGATTGAACACAGAGCATTGGGGGAATGGGTTAGGGTTAGGGTTAGGGTTAGCACCACTGAATTGTGAGCAAGCCAAAATAAGCTATTGCTCATATGATGTGTTTTTTCTTTTTTTTTTAATTAATACAAAAAACCACATTTGCTTTTGAAACTTAAACACAATAAAATGTGCTGTACCTGAATTTTCTCTAGAGAGGAACGGCAGAATGAATTGTTTGTAGATGGAGGACTTCAAAGTTACATTCACCAGATTCACTTGCTGATCGAATGTTTTGACTCTGTAAACCAATAAATGTTCAAACATAAGCCACAATTTTAAAGTCACTGCAATATATCCAATATATTCAATATTTTGACTCATACATTGCCTGGAAGCTGACACATGAAAAGTTGATCTTGCTCATGTTGGATAAGAACTCTGTTGTGATGAATGGGAGGATTGGAATAAGTCTGACACACAGCCATGACTGAACAAACTCCACGTTCTGTGCTTTCTCCACGGTCAGTGTGTTTAAGGCACCAAAACCTTCAGCGATGTCCTCGCTCGAAGACACTCCCTGAAATAAAAATCACTCAAATGAATTTAATGATAATTTACAAACTGATTACACATCCAGGTCAATTGGCACCATGCATGTAGTGATCATTAATAATTATGAATATTCGAAGATTCAACTGATTGCATGCTTGAAAGGAAACATTTCAGGAAAAGAAGAACGTATTAAATGTAAATAAAATTAAAAATAATCGAAAATAAGCAAAGATGCTTTCCAGCAGAGGATAAATAGTCTTAGATGTTGATTTCTTACAAGGTGAACCATGACATTTAGTGTTGATGTAATGATCTTTCCAAGCTCTTTTTGGAGCGTGTGAAGTTTCTCTTGAGGGAAACCAGCACTGCCGTTTGATATGCATTGTAGCTGGTGTGTAGTGTTATCCACTGCATCTAGAATCTAGACATGAAAACAGAAATTAAAAGTACCAAAACTGCAATGCTGAACTTGAGAAAAATAAGCTTGTTTTCCGCATGCATTTAAGAATATTCCCCTCTTGCTTCAGCTACTGCAGTCATAAACGGTAGTAATCCAGTGAGATGTTTTTGCACAAAATCAGAGTTGAACCATTCGAGACATTGTGAGATTGCATGAAGAGACCGACTAACTAAGAGCCGAGGCAACATCTCTAAGATGCCTAGAGATATCTACCCACAAATCTACAGTACTGAAGCGGAGGTACTGTGAAGATATCCTCAAAAATAATATCATATATTTATCAACTAAATTCTATTAACTAAATCAGATCATAAACATTCACATAGAAAACAGCTGCTTTACATTAGAATAATATTTTATAAAATATTTTATTTGATCAAATAAGAGACTTAAATAAGAGTCCTTGTCTAAAACAATAACAGTAGCATTTTACACACAGTAGATATACATTGCGTTTTTCTTCTTGAAAGCAGTGCATTCAGTGTTAAGAGTTAACATGCAGCATAACACTCTTAGGACAAAAGGTATTAAAGTCTGATGTACATTTCTGAGCCCTGTCATCATGTCCACCTGTTTATAGTCAGTTTGACAGACTGTGGAAAAAGCTATTCTAAACACATTTCTTTCCAGCATGTGTCAGAATTTGCTTTAATCCATTTATTTGTATATCAATCCATATATCAAATGTTATATGTTATGAGAGAGAGAGAGAGATAGAGAGAGAGAGACCTCACCAGAGAGCTGAAATTCTTCAGACTATTCAGATTACAGTTGTCCAGTTGAGTTTGATTGCTGGTTCTTCTGAAACAGTGGAAACAAAAAACATGTTCATTAGGATTAGTATAAGACTACTATTTATTGGAGTTAATTAAGAGCAATACTCACTCAGTAGTCGCATTGCATGATCCTGTTTCTAGGAAAAGTCATAGATATGTATTTAGTAGGTTGCAGGGACTCACATTTAATTGTTCAGACTTTGACTCTCCAAAAATCCCTGGTTAACTGGTTACAGACAGATCTTTAGAAGTGGTAAATGCTGCCGCTAAACTATGCTATACTTCTGAAAATAGTAGTTGGGTAACAGCTTTTTAGCACAGACCGATCTAAAATATAACTTTAATTGATAAGATCATGAAGAAAGTTTTTATTCTGACCAGAAAAAAGAAAACAAAATCAGAGCATGACTCTGTCATCTTTACAGTTATTTTCCTTACTTATTTTTTTTAAAAAAACCTTTTAATTTCTAATAATTTATTTGTACTTAGTTTTATTAAATTCTCAAGCTTATTTTGGATTTCATGCTGAATTAGACAACTGTAGCAGAGACAGGGGTGTGCCAGCAGCTACAAACGACCCCAATGTCGTTCAGGTATAGCGGCACCACTGCTCTGGATGGACCGGCCAATGGACGACAAATTTTTTTTTGAAGTGACGTGCTGATTAAGTCAAAAGTTCAGTGTTTATTCCAAAAAAGCGAAACACAAATATATTCCAAAAGAGTGCCTCTGATATTTACAATGAAAATCCAAAACGTATCAAAAAACATAATAAAAATAAAATAAAATAAAATGTTCAAAGTTAAATCCACAAACAAACTTTTGGCTATGTCAGAAATTTGACCCAAAAATCACACAAGCAACTCCCAACAAACTCACTCTACCAACTCCCTTACAACACTGAGAGGCCCTCTTAAAAAGTAGCCCCTCCCACTTGGACTAAACCACGACGTAATTGAAAGTAATAAAGAAATTTAATAAAAACAAAAGATATATAGATAAAGATTTAACAGTAACAGAGACATAACTAAAAAAAAAAACATACAAGCATTTGAAACCAAACAAACCAAATTCATTAATCATAGTTATCAAAGAATCCAACAAACACCAATCTCCCCTCAGACATGAGACCAATTAACAATGCCTTCTTTTGGCGGGAAATAGTTACTTTAAAATGGTGGCAGTCACTGTGGCCGGGTTTCTTCTGTTTGCAACGTGAAAATGTTCCAGTATGTAAGTATGACAATTTATTTGATGTTAACGAATGTTCGCTAGTGATGGAAATGAAGCTTTCTGAAGCACTGAGGCCTTCCCCTCAAGTGTATTGTAAATTGGTTCCTTACTTGAAGCTTTTCAACACCGTGCACACTAACGACGTCTTGTGGTCAAAACGTAAAAATTTGTTTTTTGTATTGTTTTATGTAATAAATCACTGTGTGCTATGAAAACCACAAAGCAATTAAAGAATCATCAGTGTTCGAGTTGATTTTTACACAATGTATTTGAGTCTATGAATTAATTTATGAAATAATATGAGTTCATAGGCAAGGCTCATATAGGCATATATAATCAAAATAAAATAAAACTTTTGTGGAATAGTGAAGTGCTGGGTAGTGAAAGTGCTTGTGAACTGTGAATCTCAGTCGGTCTCAATTCATTACCAAAGCGCTTGACACTCGAACCCGGCGCAAGGGGCAGTTTTTAAATCAGAATATGAAGCAGTGCAGTCACGTGGTTGTGTGTTGAACCGAAGCTTCGGACGTCACTGATCACATGGTTATTGGAAAACGAATCAAGCTCCGGTACAGTGCTTCATGTGAGATGCTTCGTTTTTTTTTATAGAAGCCTCGGTGCCGAACGTCACATCACTAATGTTCGCACACAATAAATATTTAACCCGGCAACCCGTCTTGTCGGAATTATCTTGTTTGTACTTAATGCGCTACACAAATCAACATTTTACAAAATGAATGGCTCAGAAAATATTTAACTAAAGAAAGAGCACATGGTGTAGACAGGAACAACACTCAAACTGACACCCACATATCTGGTGTTAACTGGCGTTATAACATTGCTCAAAACAAATGTGTTATGTTTGTATAAAAAGTGCACAGAGTGTGTTCTTTGTCCAGTGTAATAATAATAAAAGTCTCTAGTCTCAGTGTCTCGATTCGCGATTTCAATGCATTACTATTGCTTTGACATGCAAACACATGAGGCTTTGTATGCTGAACACACATTTATTTATTTAATGATCTATCTATTTAGTGATCTATTTAATTTATCCATATCTACTTGCAAAGTTCCAGTCATGTGGAAGTGTGCTAGAGTAACACCTTTATACAAAAGTAGTGATGCTCTTGATCCGAACAATTATAGACCAATCTCAATTATTATTAATGTAGTAAAATTATTTGAAAAAATTATATTCAAGAGACCGTTTAAATACATTGAGTTTTCTATTTTTTTTTTTTCTACAAATCAATCAGGTTTTAGGCCGAATTACTCCATCACCACTGTTCTTACAAAATTTGTAGGAGGAGCGTGAGAGAAAGGGCGCTGTGATTGGTCAATCGCGTCGATTCATCACTGTGATTGGGTTATTACCCTGCATGCGACGAGGCCCGCCTATCCGTCCAGTTTCTCCATCAGTTGATTAGCATGCTGTTATATTGAACTGAACTGATGGAGATGGATGTACTGTTTACAGAGTTCACCCTCTCATCCTCATCTATATCAAAATGAATTTGAAAGGATAGTGTGTGTGTGTGAGTACGCGTTTATTGCAGACACTACTGAAATACTGAGGATTTGATGACTGGTGTGAAAAGTGAAAAAGAAGAAGAAAAGAAATCAAATTAAGCTTTAGATGCACTTAACTACTTATAATGTTAAAATAACGCATAAAAAAACGCTGTACGATTAGTTTGTTAATGTTGTCAGGTGAAAATGCTTTTTATCTAGAAACTTCAGATTTAATTTACATTGATCTTAAACACTTGTTGTTGTTTTTTTTTTTTTTTTGGTCATTTTTTTTGTCTCTTTATTTTCATAAACCACCACTTGCCATGGCTTCCCATGCACCTGGGGCATTTTTTAGATTTACAGTATGAGTATATATTTAAAACATTATTATTATTATTTTGTAAATGTAAGCTGATGACACCCAGGCCTTATGTGTCTGGACCTCTCCACTAGAGGGCACCACCTTAACGATAACTAGTCTCCTTGTTCCATGTGCTCTGACCGATATTTCCTATGATGTCATGCATGCACAGAAAGTAAAAGACTATCATAATCTCACCATTTAAATGTGTTGTGTTGCACTGGGAAAAAAAACAAACAGGTAAATATAAAGAATCTTAGTGTTAGTGTTTCATATTGTCACACTAAAAGCTTAGTTTAAACAATAATTAATGAAGTATTCATTTTCAGATTTTATAGATTTTTTAATCAAACACATATGGATTGTAAAGACTACATATATGGAGCAATATATATATATAAAAAATATTTCCTTTAAGAATTTAACTGACTTACCTGTGCATTACCAAGAGACACAGATGTTGCTGTGGACAGGGTGAGAAAAATATCTAATTAGTGTAATCTTTCAGAAATGTGAACAGGAAGCATTTTGTGTAATCAAGGTATTTCTGATGTTGTTGGGACTGAATAGCCACAAAATACACACACACACACACACACACACACACACACACACACACACACACACACACACACACACACACACACACACACACACACACACACACACACACACACACACACACACACACACACAAACACGTGTGTGTTGGTTAGTTTTTGTGTGTTTGTGCACAATTGTATGGAAAATAGAGATTGCTTCAGGTGTTGCAGACACACTAGATTTTGCTCGTTTAGTTGTTCCAGTTACGGTCTTTGTTGGATTTGAGGGTTAGGGTTGTATGTGCAGTTAGTTCTGCAGAAGTCTTAAAGGGATAGTTAACCCAAAATTAAAGGGGGTTACTAAGGTGGTTAGTGGTTGCTTGGTGGTTTACTGAGTGTGATATCATTTATTTCTTATAATATCAGTCTAATGTATTAATGTTAGCATTTCAGAACATCCACGAGGAGCTGGGATTCGTGACATCATCGTGTAAAATAGAAGTCCCAGTTCATTGGCAGTTGAAATGGCAGTATTTGGTTCTTCAGTTGTAGCAGTGATGGATGTTGGTTCTGCAAGGGTTGTATGTACATCAGTGTTTGGTGTTGCTGCAGCTACTGTAGATGTTTTTTTAGTTATGGTTCGTGGTTCTTCAGATGTTGTATTGACAATGGTTGTTGGTGTCTCTTTTGTGTTGGAAGTATCTGTTATTTTAGTTGTGGGAATAACATAGTTTTTTTGATCTGTTGCAGTCTCTTATACTGTAATCTGTGATCCAAGCAAATCTGTTTGTGCGTCAATTGCTGTGAAAACATTTCAAGGGATGTGAGCATACAATGGCATTTGCGTTGACTTGTTAACCTCCTCTTCTTCTTTTTTTTTCACTTAGAGAATAACTCTCTCTCCGCCTTAGAATTGAATCAAGCCATGTTACAAATCACAAGTGAAGAAGTAAGAGAAGAAACAAATGATTGGAGTGTTGCTTGTGCACATTGTAGTCTTTGATAAAAAAATATATATATATTTTCTCAGTTTTTTGTTTAAAATGTTGTTTAATTTTAAGAAACTTTCCCACCTTCAAGTGGAATTATTTTGTTTAGTTTAAAATCAGATGCTCTGTTCTTTGATTTATTGTGTGTCGAGATATTCTAACAACAAAATATTCTGGGGGCCATTCATATTTTGTGAAAATGATAGTGCTAGCTGACAACATTTCTGTAAAAAAAAAAAATGCTGGTGGGGAAAGAGTTAAGAATGTGGTCCATAAATCAAAACATGAAATGAGTGGAACTTGCAAAGCAGCATGAAATGTGAAAAAGATAAAGAATTTTTGGTTCCATTTTTTTCTGTTTAACCCTTGTGTGTTCTCTGTCTAACGATTCTGCTTAGTTTGATGATGCTGCATGTTTAAGAAACACCCGTATTCTGCTTGCTTACATTTCCTCACACACCAGTTGAACCTTCCATAAAATAATCTTTCATAAAGTTTGGATAGATTGAAGCAAATTACAACGACACGTGTGTGTGCACTTATTACATATGTAAAAGATTTTTATACATATGTAAAAGAAGTTGTTAAACCACTAAATTAATAAGAAAAAAGTTGATTAGGAATCTGATTGTGAGGTGCCTACAGATTCCCACCCCTGATAGTTACACCCTCGAGTTTAGCTTGAACCCTGACTAAACTCACCTGCAACTTTCCAGTAGTCCTACAGAACTTGCTTAGCTTGATCAGGGCTGTGTGATTAGGCTTGGGCCAGAGTTGAGAACCCTTGTCATAAAGTATCATATGAAGAGTTGTTCAACTGAACGATCTAATTCCAGTTTTTGAGAGTTTTTAAAAAAATAAGATTTGTTTTGCAAGAGGCAAGAACACGATTAAAGTCTGACCGGACTAGGGGGGCACTATCTTTCACCCGGCGCAAATGACTTTGCACACTGACGCATGTATCATTCTTATTTTGTACCCGCGCCAAGCAGGCTTTCCCTCCACAGACATACGTCGGTAAACTAGGAAATGAACTTGCACTCCCTGGGCGGATCGACACTAAATAGGAGGCGTGTTAAGGCGCAAACAATCCCTGGTGCTATTTTACAGTTCCAGAAAACAATTCCACCACTGACCAGAAAAAAACCCAAGTGTGTGTATGTGTGTGTGTGAGAGAGAGAGAGAGAGAGAGTGTGTGTGAGGGTGTGTGTATCTCACCCATACAGAGGGCAGACAGTAGTAGCAGTCTGCGGGACATAATGTTTTGTCTCATGTCACTCTCAGTTCATCTTTTATGCTGCAAGGGTGAAAACATTTATTATTCAACATGCACTGTAAAACATTTGTGTTGATTTGCAATATATTACAAGTTTGTGTTCTCGAGATTAAAGAACACAAACCTATCATGCATCGTTGAGATTTATTACTAATTGTAAAGCTCGCACCCAGCACTGTGAGCTGTATTCTCGTGTAGGGTGGTCTGGTCTGACAACACGGAGGCTTTGTCATTGGTATACATTTATATATATAAGGCTATTCTTGGTGTGCTACCATCTTATTTATGTTCACTTCTTATGAAAAAAAGTGTTGGTAATTACTCTCTCCGTTCTCAAGATGTTGTTTTGTTTTCTGTCCCACATGTCAGTACTGTGCTGGGTAATAAGGCCTTTGTTTATTCTGCCTCCTCTACATGGAATTTACTGCAGAACAACTTAAAACTTAGTAAATTGATTCCTATAAGTGTTTTTAAGTTGAGAATGAGAAGTTTTGAGTTGGACTCCCTCACATGTCCATGTTTTCGTTGAGATTTCATTTGTAAGTGCATAATCAGCTTTTATTTGTGTGTCTTTGTACGTATGTAATGATGTGATGTAATTTTGCTGCCTATCTTGGCCAGGTCTCCCTTGCAAAAGAGATTTTTAATCTCAATGGGTTTTTACCTGGTTAAATAAAGGATAAATAAAAAATAAATAAAAATAAACTGGGAAAATAGCCTTTTGTGTTTTATCCATCTAAATTTGTGAAAATGCCCAGATGTCATTTATGTTTTGGTAAGATCCCTTGCATCATACAACAGCTATAACTCCATACAATGTTTGTCTACACTGTACAAACTGTGTTCTTTTATTATTGTGAGCCACAGGTAGTCCGGTATGGGCTCTATGCACGGCGTTATTTCCGGTGAAGGATTAAGGATGCTCGATAACTTCCGCCGATCATAGAGTCCAATGCAATACCGAGAATTTATATTGAATTTTATACTCCATGGTTATACTAATGAAACGTTAGTCACAAAAAAAGATAAAACAGACACCCCTCGTTGTGTTTATGCTTCTTTTTAAAATTATATAAAATAAACATAACTATATATAAAATTACATCTAAACGTATGTACGTTTCGTTTCAAAGACGAGAGGACAGTAAATATTGAAGACTCTGCCATAATCCCGTTTTCTCCGGTTTTCCTCCGCTTTAATCTACACAACCGGAAATGGACGAGCATCCTTACGTCAAATGCGGAACTTATGCGTGCATATAGCCCATTGTGTTTGATGTGAGTTTCAGCAATCTGTTGTGTTATTTTCAGTCTTATTATTATAGCTCTATAATGTGCCGAAATGACACACTGATCATCATAGTGGGAACTTTCAGGCAAACAACCATTTATTGTCAACTTCTGTAATATTCTCTCAACATTTCCACTTGTATTGACAATTTAATAACATGTAAACTGACTTTGGAAAATTTGTGAGTACATTAGAGTGCAGTGGAGTACAGTACAGCGCAGTAGAGTACAGTACAGTGCAGTACAGTAGAGTACAGTAGAGTACAGTACAGTGCAGTACAGTGCAGTAGAGTACAGTACAGTGCAGTACAGTAGAGTACAGTAGAGTACAGTACAGCGCAGTACAGTGCAGTAGAGTGCAGCGCAGTAGAGAACAGCGCAGTAGAGTACAGTGCAGTAGAGTACAGTGCAGTAGAGTGCAGCGCAGTAGAGTACAGTGCAGTAGAGTACAGTGCAGTAGAGTACAGTACAGTAGAGTACAGTAGAGTACAGTACAGTAGAGTACAGTAGAGTACAGTACAGTAGAGTACAGTAGAGTACAGTACAGCGCAGTACAGTAGAGTACAGTACAGTAGAGTACAGTAGAGTACAGTAGAGTACAGTACAGTAGAGTACAGTAGAGTACAGCGCAGTAGAGTACAGTGCAGTAGAGTACAGTACAGTAGAGTACAGTAGAGTACAGTACAGTAGATTACAGTAGAGTACAGCGCAGTAGAGTACAGTGCAGTAGAGTACAGTAAAGCGCAATAGAGTGCAGCAGAGTACAGTACAGTGCAGTAGAGTACAGTAGAGTACAGCGCAGTAGAGTACAGTAAAGCGCAATAGAGTACAGTAGAGTACAGTGTAGTAGAGTACAGTAGAGTACAGTACAGCGCAGTAGAGTACAGTAGAGTACAGTGTAGTAGAGTACAGTAGAGTACAGTACAGCGCAGTAGAGTACAGTAGAGTACAGTAGAGTACAGTGCAGTAGAGTACAGTAGAGTACAGTAGAGTACAGTAGAGTACAGTGTAGTAGAGTACAGTAGAGTACAGTACAGCGCAGTAGAGTACAGTAGAGTACAGTGTAGTAGAGTACAGTAGAGTACAGTACAGTGCAGTGGAGTACAGTACAGCACAGTAGAGTCAGATACAAATACTTTTTTATTCAGTAAGAATGCATTAAATTGATCATCAAAGACATTGATAAATTTATAAAAGATTTTATTTCAAATAAATGCGTTTCTTTTGAACTTTATATTCATCTTTAGGATCATGTGACACTGAAGACTGGAGTTATGATGATAAATTCAGCTTTGATCACAGGAATAATTACACTATACATTCACTCAGAGAAATTGTTGCTATTTAAAATATCTGTATTTCTGATCAGGTAAATGCAGCCTTGGTGAGCAGAAGAGACTCTTTTGAAAACTTTTTTGCTGCTGTTTCACCATCATATGATGCACATGTAGACTGATGTACACTCCAGCGCTAGCGCATGCTAGAAAAGGGAATATATTCATCTTGGTATCGTGTAATGGTAAGGAAATTTTCTTACCTGTATGACAGCTCAGGTGACTGACTGAAGTGAAGGACAAAGTGTGTGTGTGTGAGTGTGTGTGTGAAAGAGAGAGATCTGGGTGGAGCTGATGTGCTAAAGCAGCTGCCGTCCAGATTCAGACCCTTCTGATGCCCACACACACACACACTCACTCTCACACACTCAGACACACACACACTGGATTTTAAAGAGCATTATAATATTTAGACAGAAATGTGCATTTTTAAATTGAAAATTAAGTGTGGATTCTAGTGAGGACTGTGATAAATGTGACAGGAACAGTAAACACACATTTATTCTGGAGGCCTAATCATGTTTATTCTCAGTTTATGATCAACTTCCACTGATTCAGATTCAGATTTCTCCTGTTAATTCATTCAGATTCACTTTATCCTGACACTGAATCTTGGGCTAAACAGATTGAGTGTACCTGTCAATCATCTTTATCAGTAACAGGGCTGAACCAGTGTGTGTGGAACATTCTGGTTATTTAAGACATGTTGTTAGTGAACACATAACTGACGCACACACACACACACACACACACACACACACACACACACACACACACACACACACACACACACACACACACACACACACACATTCTCCAACAAGATCTCATGGTTCTATCACACAATTTCTTGTGGCAGTTAGATACACAATAATATGATACAATAATGTAAATGTGATAACATATTAACAGCATGTGGGTTATTTAAAGAACACCTAACTTGTATTTCCTGTTTTCTAGATTATATTAATATGCGTGTATCACTGTGAGGATGAGTAGTTTATCTTGCAGTATTTTCCCTGATTTGATCAATATTCTTCGCCTCGGTACAGTGATTCTGACACCGGTTCCGTCTAATAAACCGGACCGCTTCCCAAACAATCTTACAAGCTGTAAAACATGTACTAATCCCTGAATATGAACACTGTGTCGTAAAGTCACCAGAACCGTAATATTGTTGTCTCTAAATGTATAAGCGTGTAGATTTTAGAAGCTGTCAATATGACACTTTAGAGTCCGTTCAGACTTGTGTAGACTTTTGGATAAGAATACAATCTTCATTATCAGGGTGTGTTTCATTATTTCGTTATCACTTTGCAAAAGGCTCCAGGCCAAAAAACACCTTTTTGATGAATGGCAACTTGCTGGAATTCCACGGACATTCTTAGTTCACACTAAAACGAACATACAATAGAAGCTATTATAGAAATGTGTCATTGTGGTTTCTTCTGTCTGTCAGAATAAAACAACATGCGTTGTGATCTCCATATGTGTGTTAGATCAAACCGGCTTTACATTGGATAGGCATTCGTTCTCCAATACTCTGAGATCACTCAACATTATTTCCTCTCCTTCAGGAGTCATTGTCTTATGGATTCAGAGAAGCTTTCGACAGTGGGAATACTTGTTATTTGCATTTGGAAAATTCTGGTTTGACCCCAAATCCCTTTCTTGGATATGACTCCTGTAATTGTTTAATGGTGTTCCTTGTTATTCAATACAGCCATTGAGCCCTTGTCCATTTGGCGTCATAGCCATAATGTGTTTAAAGGTATCATGCCATAAACTTTCCCTTTACTCGCATCTCTGTCTCCTTTTCCACCCGTGATGAGTTGGCATCCCTGTATTTAACAGGCCCTCAATACCAACAGTGTCCCCCCTTGACTGATCTGTTTGCCTTCCCAGCCACGAGTAAACCCGTCCCCGCGCTCTGTGTCATTGCCTGTCCCTGATTGGCTGGCCAGGACGAGGGAGCTGTTGCCGTGCGTCCACCCTGAGAAAATCACTGCCATCCGTCTGTGTGGCGTGTTGAACTATTCTCCTGCGTTTACATCCCTTTATTCAGACACAGTGTCTCATTTTGTTGAAGTACCTTTTAGAAAACATGTAATTAGAAAACTGGGGAGTAAAAACATGCTTTGATAAATAAAATTGTGGCATCCTAAATCGTAGTTATTAGTTATAAAAGTGGAAATGATGAAAAAAAATTGACAGTCTTTTAGGAGAAAGCACATAAATCTCAGAATGTATCTCAATTAACGTTAACCATTACTAATACATTATTAAAATCAAAAGTTAATATAATTGAATGGACATGAGCTGACATGAACTAACAATGAAGCCATTAATGAAGACAGTAACGGGTGTGGCTAATTCAAGTGTGCGCTGCTTTAATGCTGTGATTGATTAACCATCATGTGACACGTCTCTTTTGTGCAGAAGTGTTTCGGTCTCTTTTCTAAAGTATGTTGGAAACCCAACCTTGAGGGATTAGTTGTGATGTCAGGTT